TCACAGCAGTCTTTGCACCAGAGGAGCTTACACTCTAATGTCTATACTATTGTTTTTTACATTTTAGGGACAATTTAGCTGTAAGCAGATATTTCACATTCCAGTATGATTTTGAATGGTAGAACAATACTGGAACACCAGGGAAAAATCTACAGAAAAAATAGAAACTTCATGCATAGAGCACCCAGATGGAAACTGGAACAGCACCCCAGACTGCAGAGGTTTCTTGAGTGTGTTTACCTAGAGCTACTTTTTACATGATCCAAGCAAAGCATTTCTCTTTATTGCCTCAATATAAAGTTATGTATGATGTAATACATTTCGGATGTTTGCATCTAGCCGCAATCAGGATAATTGGAGGGCTTTTATATATATATATATATATATAGCAGGATGCATAAAAGGAAAAAGGGAAGCTGATGCAAAATGAATGAGTAATAAGATTGATGTGAAGGCTTACCATAGCATTGTGAAATAGATTAACCCTTTATATTGTGAATACTCAGCAGAGTATTATACTGTATATAACATAAAGTGTAAGTACAATCAAAACTTTTTCATAGTTCATTTTGTGTGGAAGGGTTAGACCTCCTGTCTGGTTTTTTGCTGTCTGGGTCCTGTTGGGTTGATGTACCCTCTCTATTTGTTCTGGTCATCATTGTCATTGATAGATAAAGTGAGGGAATACTCTAGGTTTTGCACTTGTCAGAACAGGAAGAGAGAGGGAATTTTCTAACAGGGACACTGTTCTGTTGACAACTGTATTAAAGGGGATATCCCTTTTATACTTTTATTTTTATAACAAAAGTTGAGGCTTTATCAAAACTCATTGAAAATATTTGTGGGTTGCCACTGCTGACCTCCTGTATATAGTGGATACCAGGCAGGACCAATGTCCTGCAACAAGAATGCAGACGAGGAGCTCTGATGTCCCTAGATAGCTTGCTAGTGCAGAGGTTTGTGTCTCTGCCCCTCCCACAATGGGGAGATTTCCTGCTGTAGTTTGTGTCTCTGCCCCTCCCACAATGGGGAGATTTCCTGCAGTAGTTTGTGTCTCTGCCCCTCCCACAATGGGGAGATTTCCTGCTGTAGTTTGTGTCTCTGCCCCTCCCACAATGGGGAGATTTCCTGCAGTAGTTTGTGTCTCTGCCCCTCCCACAATGGGGAGATTTCCTGCAGTAGTTTGTGTCTCTGCCCCTCCCACAATGCTGAGATTTCCCTGCAGTAGTTTGTGTCTGCCCCTCCCACAATGCTGAGATTTCCTGCAGTAGTTTGTGTCTCTGCTCCTCCCACAATGGGGAGATTTCCCCGCAGTAGTTTGTGTCTCTGCCCTTCCCACAATGGGGAGATTTCCTGCAGTAGTTTGTGTCTCTGCCCCTCCCACAATGGGGAGATTTCCTGCAGTAGTTTGTGTCTCTGCACCTCCCACAATGGGGAGATTTCCCCGCAGTAGTTTGTGTCTCTGCCCTTCCCACAATGATGAAATCTCCTGCAGTAGTTTGTGTCTCTGCCCCTCCCACAATGGTGACTTTTTGCTGCAGTAGTTTGTGTCTCTGCCCCTCCCACAATGGGGAGATTTCCTGCAGTAGGTTGTGTCTCTGCCCCTCCCACAATGGAGAGATTTCCTGCAGTAGTTTGTGTCTCTGCCCCTCCCACAATGATGGGATTTCCTGCAGTAGTTTGTGTCTCTGCCCCTCCCACAATGGAGAGATTTCCTGCAGTAGTTTGTGTCTCTGCCCCTCCCACAATGATGGGATTTCCTGCAGTAGTTTGTGTCTCTGCCCCTCCCCACAATGGGGAGATTTCCTGCAGTAGTTTGTGTCTCTGCCCCTCCCACAATGGGGAGATTTCCTGCAGTAGTTTGTGTCTCTGCACCTCCCACAATAGGGAGATTTCCTGCAGTAGTTTGTGTCTCTGCCCCTCCCACAATGGTGAGATTTCCTGCAGTAGTTTGTGTCTCTGCCCCTCCCACAATGGTGACTTTTTGCTGCAGTAGTTTGTCTCTGCCCCTCCCACAATGGGGAGATTTCCTGCAGTAGTTTGTGTCTCTGCACCTCCCACAATGGTGAGATTTCCTGCAGTAGTTTGTGTCTCTGCCCCTCCCACAATGGGGAGATTTCCTGCAGTAGTTTGTGTCTCTGTCCCTCCCACAATGGGGAGATTTCCTCTGTATAAAACCATTATTTAGGTGGCATCAGTATTTCCCTATTATTTGTTTCTTTATCCATTGCATTGATATAATTATTTGGTTTTACAATTGAACCTGGAATGCAGCTAAAGGGAGTTGTAGGAATAATTATGAGAAGTAGGTATGTGATTCAGCTTTCAATCAACCACACAGAAATAATAGGTTTGGTTAGACTGTCCCTTTTAAATCTACCCAAACCTCACATGCAGGAAAGTTGGGATGGGAGAGGCAAGGAAACATTTTGCCCAATTGAAAATATCTGATAAAACTGTTTGTATGGGTAGTGATATAAGGCAGGCCATAGACGAGTCTAAAAACAAAAGCGTCAAATCGTTCATTGTTCACATTAATCGTTCATTAGTGTGTCAGCTGCGTCAAGCAATTTTTGTTCTGCAATCCAAAGTCCCTGATCCAACATGCTGGCTTTTTTTTTTTTTAGAGAATCAAAACAATTGGTGGCACAATCGTATGAGCTGTTTTCGTTTTTCAACCGACAGAATTTTAGTTTTTTTCGACTCATCTATTGAGTGCTTTAAGCTCTGCTCACTCTGGTGCTGGGAGATGGCGGTGTACAGAATTTCAGTATTTGTAAATCTGTTGTAGAATTAATTTGTAACATGGCGGATAGTTGTCAGTTCTTGAGTTCTGCGGTTCCAGTGTCAGTTCCCTGGCGGTCTTTAATCTGGTGGGAGAGGTCAGATCTGTAACCGGAGGTATGGGGATTCCAAGAGGGGAATGAAGCAGATAATTGTGAGCAGCCAAACTCCTTGTCAGATCACATTCCGCCTTTCTGGAATTTTGGCTTCATCAGATGTTTTTTTCCTTTGCAGATATTAGATGGATGATAAAACCGGCCAGAATATAACCTGCCATTCTGGGGAGCTCATTCACACCGATCCTACAATTCTCTATATTAGGGGTCTCCACACTTTTTAAACAAAGGGCCAGTTTACTGTCCTTCAGACTTTAAGGGGGCCGGACTGTGGCCAGTGGGAGTAAACAATACCCCATATTTGGTTTTAGAAAAAGTAGTTGGTGTCAGTGGGAGGAATAGTGCCCCATCATTTGTATCAGTGGGAGGAATAGTGCCCCATTATTGGTATCAGTGGGAGGAATAGTGCCCCATCATTGGTGTCAGTGGGGGGAATAGTGCCCCATTATTGGTATCAGTGGGAGGAATAGTGTCCCATCATCATTGGTATCATTGGTATCAGTGGGAGGAATAGTGCCCCATCATTGGTATCAGTGGGAGGAATAGTGCCCCATCATTGGTGTCAGTGGGAGGAATAGTGCCCCATTATTGGTATCAGTGGGAGGAATAGTGCCCCATCATTGGTATCAGTGGGAGGAATAGTGCCCCATTATTGGTATCAGTGGGAGGAATAGTGCCCCATCATTGGTATCAGTGGGAGGAATAGTGCCCCATCATTGGTGTCAGTGTGAGGAATAGTGTCCCATCATTGGTATTAGTAGAAGGAATAGTGCCCCATCATTGGTGTCAGTGGGAGGAATAGTGCCCATCATTGGTATCAGTGGGAGGAATAGTGCCCTATCATTGGTATCAGTGGGAGGAATAGTGCCCCATCATTGGTGTCAGTGGGAGGAATAGTGCCCATCATTGGTATCAGTGGGAGGAATAGTGCCCTATCATTGGTATCAGTGGGAGGAATAGTGCCCCATCATTGGTGTCAGTGGGAGGAATAGTGCCCCATTATTGGTATGAGTGGGAGGAATAGTGCCCCATCATTGGTATCAGTGGGAGGAATAGTGCTCCATTATTGGTATCAGTGGGAGGAATAGTGCTCCATTATTGGTGTCAGTGGGAGGAATAGTGCCCCATTATTGGTGTCAGTGGGAGGAATAGTGCCCCATTGTTGGTTTCAGTATCAGGAATTATGCCCCATTGTTGGAGTCCGTGGCAGGAATAATTCCTCAAGGGCTGGATAAAGTCAAGCCAAGGGCCACATCTGGCCCCCAGGCCGCAGTTTGGAGACCACTGCTCTATATAGTCATTTCGTTTTAGCCACTTGCCCTCCAGAGGATTTACCCCCCTTCTTGACCAGACAATTTTTTGCGATATGGAGCTGCATTACTTTTAACTGACAATTGCGCGGTCATGCAACGCTGCACCCAAATTAAATTTATGCCCTTGTTTTTCCCACAAATAGAGATTTCTTTTGGTGGTATTTGATCACCTGTGTGTTTTAAATTTTTTGCACTATAAAAAAAAAGAAAGACCGACAATTTTGAGAAAAAAAATATTTTTGACTTTTTGCTATGAACCTCCCTAGCGGTCTGATTATGTCCATATTTCTGTGCTCAAAGCGGTACATTTTTTCGCATGGAAATATGTATTTTTTTTATTGTAGGCCTGTAATTTTTAGGAATAACTCACTGAAATCATAATTTATAATATAATAAATAATCGTAAAAAATAATAATATAATAATAAATTTAATTAAATAATATAATCAAACCAAAAACACTGAAATTTGAAATATAGCGCCAAGTTCGCACATCACTGAGCAAAGTCGCAAAATCGTTTTCAGTGTCTGATGAGGAATTTCCCCCACGAATCATTATCAATTCTGCAAGTGGTTCTGATTTACTATCGCTGTTCTCTAGCCGGTCTAAAACCACTTTTGACCTAAAGGGACGCTTTTTGGACGCCATGGACGTTTCTCGGTTTCCAGGCAGAAAGAACAGTAAAAATGCAGGCAGGGCGCCGGACAAAGCACTCGGGACAAAATGTATGTGAAATGGTTTGATACAGGAATGTTATACTATGTGATTTTAGTGTATTTAGTGAATGTCACTTTTACAACTTTCAAATTTCCCGCCGGTTCCGTCCCCCGTACGTCCCGACATCGCAGGGAACAGAACCCAGAAGACAGATGCCGGCATCGGCCGGAGGACATTACAAGGGACACTGCAGGGGGGACATCGCGGGAGCTCAGGACAAGGTAAGTGCAGAAGAGCTCCCGGAGCAATGCTGCAGTGTATTTCCGAGTGTAGCTCAGGGTTACCGCTTGTGGTGATGAAACTTTACCCCGAGCCACACTCGGGAATACCTCCAGGGAGGTTAAACATGTCCAGTAGAAAAATCTTAAAAATCAAATTGCGTCATAAATTTAGGCCAAAATGTATTCTGCGACATGTCTTTGCTAAAAAAAATCCCAATACATGTAAATTATTATTATACAGTATTTATAAAGCGCCAATAGTTCACTCAGCGCTGTACATTACAAAGGGGGACAGAACATGTGACAGAACAATACCAATACAATGCAAAACATGAGGGGATCGAGGGCCCTGCTCTTTGGAGCTTACAATCTAGGAGGGGGGGGGTGGTGGCACAGGAGGAGATAGCTGTGGGGGATGGAGTGGTAGGAAGAGTGGAGGAGGTCAGCAAGTTAGCAGGGGGTGAGGTAGGCTTCCCTGAAGAGATGGGTTTTCAGGGTGCGCCTAAAGGAGAGGAGAGTAGGTGATAATCTGATGGGTTGGGGAAGGGAGTTCCAGAGGATGGGTGACACCCTGGAGAAGTCCTGGAGGCGGGCATGGGAGGAGGAGACCAGGGAACTAGAGAGAAGGAGGTCTTGTGAGGAGCGGAGTGTGCGTGCTGGGCGGTACTTGGATATTAGGTCAGTGATGTAGTTCGGGGCAGTATGGTGGACGGCTTTGTACGTCAGTGTTAGGATTTAAAATTTGATCCGTTGCGCAATCGGAAGCCAGTGGAGGGATTGGCAGAGGGGGGTGGCGGAAATGGAGCGGTTGGAAAGGTGAATGAGTCTGGCAGCTGTATTCAGGATGGACTGAAGCGGGGATAGCCAGCGGCGAGGCAGGCCAGTGAGGAGGGAGTTGCAGTAGTCGAGTCGTGATACGATGAGGGAGTGGATGAGCTGTTTAGTGGTTTCTGGGGTTAGGAACGTGCGGATTTTGGCAATGTTGCGGAGGTGGAGTCTGCACGAGTTTGTTAAAGATTGGACTTGGGGCTGGAAGGATAGGTTGGAGTCCAGAATGACACCAAGTACTCTGGCCTGCAGAGCGGGTTTGATATTGGCGTTGTGGGATGTGATGTAGAAGTCAATGGAGGGTGGGGTTCGGGCTGGGGGGAAGACAAGGAGCTCGGTTTTGGAGAGATTCAGTTTAAGGAAGTGGAGCGACATCCAATCTGATATGTCGCTCAGTAGGTGTGTGATTTGGGCAGAGACCGAGGGGGTGAGGTGGGGGGTTGAGAGATAGATTTGTGTGTCGTCGGCATAGAGGTGGTAGTTGAAGCCGTGAGAGTGTATGAGTTGGCCAAGGGAGGAGGTGTAGATGGAGAAGAGAAGGGGCCCAAGGACAGAGCCTTGAGGGACCCCAACAGAGAGGGGGAGTGAGGGGGAGGTGGTAGCATTATAGGTAACGCTGAAAGAGCGTTGTGACAGGTAGGATGAGAGCCAGGAGAGAGCAGAATCTCTGAGGCCGAGGGAGTGTAGTATTTTGAGGAGGAGGGGGTGGTCAACTGTGTCGAAGGCCGCAGAGAGGTCAAGGAGAAGGAGCACTGAATAGTGGCCATTAGCTTTGGCGGTTAGCAGGTCGTTGGAGAGTTTGAGTAAGGCGGTTTCGGTGGAGTGTAGGGGGCGGAAGCCAGACTGTAGGGGATCGAGGAGGTTAATTGGTTTTTTGTGAGTTATAGTGTTTACAAATATACATATATGTGTGTGTATATATGTATGTATATGTGTGTGTGTGTGTATATATGTATGTATATGTGTGTGTGTGTGTATATATGTATGTATATGTGTGTGTGTACATTTATATATATATATATATATATATATATATATATTTATTTATATGTGTGTGTGATTTTGCGTACCCGTGCCGCCCTGTAGCAGTATTTCTGCTATAGGACGGACGGCAAGCGCTTAAATAGAAAAACTTTAATAGCATAAACGATAAAAGACTTTTTTTTATAAAGTGGAGCTATGTTTCAAGTCAAACTTGAAACAAGCCAAATACTGTTTAAATCCATCCATCATGTGTATTCTTCCTTGAATCTCAGTATAATTTGTGTATTTCTTCCAGATCTGTGCAGTAATCCAGTGTGAGATTTTTATTGTAATAAAAACCACTCACTGTTGCTCCCTCTCCTTGTGCAGGGTGACTGGTCTTGTCTCCGCCCCCTCTTGTAGTTTTCTACAGGCAGCCTGTGGAGGGTGTGGTCTGCTGGGCCCCTCCCACAGCTCTGCTCTCTCCTTGTGCAGGGTGACTGGTCTTGTCTCCACCCCCTCCTGTAGTTTTCTGCAGGCAGCCTGTAGTGGGTGGAGTCTGCTGGGCCCCTCCCACAGCCCAGTGATGATGTCGCTGTTACTTTTAAAAGGTAATAGAAAAACCATCACAGTATCCTTCTTCGGTAGTCCTCTAAAGGGCCCTCAGCCATGATGCGTGCAGTGGACTGGCTCACAGTACAGGTTCTGTGAATATAAGAATGCCCTGATGAGTGTATCCAGTCTAGGGAGGAGAAGGCGTACTATGCGGAGCACCCCCTGAATCACCTGTGAATTGCACAAGAATGCGGCGCGGTTCCTGTGCGATTCTTATGTGGTTCATTGTGTGAACCGAGGATGAGACTGGGCTCACATATATGCAATGCAGTTTGCGTCAGTTTTGATGGCCGGATGCAGTGCGATTTGTGCAACTGGTACATGTGCAATTTTTATGTGAACTGTTAAAATGCATAAGTCTGGAAATCACCACCGCACTGAAAATCGCACAGAACTCTTTTTAGAATCGCACTGAAGGCGCACTGCATATATGTGAGTAGGGCCCTCTAACCCCTCGTGTGCTGTTTGTTGTTGCTGTACTCTTTCATGTATTGTCCCCCCCTCTATTGTACAGCGCTGAGCAAACCCTTTGGCGCTATATAAACTCGATGTAATAATAATAATAAGTGAATGGCCACAGTATAACACAATGACTTTTCACATGTAATGGGATTCAATACGCTCTAAACACATAAAAAATATAGCTTACCCCAGGTTCACACCTAAGCGTTTTCTGCAGCGTTTTGCAGAAACGCAGTACAGTCCATTTAACATGATTTCCTATAGGACATGTTCACACCTGTGTGTTTTCGCCCAGTGCGTTTTCTGGAAAGGGTCAGGGATTTTTTTGAACGTAAAAAGTTGCGTTTTTGTGTCTATAGACTTATATGGGAATGCTGCAGAAAAGCATATATTGGATTATTGTTGCGTTTTGCATTTTAAATCTGTCTAGCAACAAGAGAACAAAAACGCAAGTGTAAAAACACAAAACGCAGTGCAGAAACATCACAAACGCAAGCTGCATAGGTGTGAACCGAGTCGTTATGATTTAAGGTTTTATTGTCAAAATTTAACTGAACAAGTTGACGTTAGAAGCTGATTGGCCGCCTTGCACATCTGCACCAGATTTAGCATTCTCCAGTTTGAGTAAATCTCCCCCTATGTATCAACGTTGTAGTCCAGGGGCGGACTGACCATTTGGAAACTCAGGCACTGCCCGAGGGCCCGGGGTCAGTAGAGGGCCCCAAGAGATGCCCCTGGTACCTTTTTCATAGGCTTTTTTGAGTTTGGGCAAGGACACAGGGGCCCCATGATCCCCTATTGCCCGGGGGCCCCATGAGTTGTCAGTCCGCCCCTGTGTTGTACAATAGGTTTTGTTATTGTTATACCCTGTTCTTTTGTAATTAGGGCCCCCCAGTGAAATACGCATTGTTCTGGAAATTAAATGTAATGAGTTTGGCATTTGATCCCGCAGAGGGACAATTTGGTGAAACGTTAATGATTTTCTCAGCCTTCACCTTGTAGAACCCTCTTTGTAGCCGGTTTGTAGCAGGTGTAACTGGTACCAGTCGAACAGCAGCACGCGGCTCAGTAATTGGGCACCGAGGGGCCACACTACCATCTGCTGGTAGCGCCAGGTCGGCTTGTTAGAGTCCGGGCGCCAGGGACACCTGTTCTCTGACAGCTGGAGCTCAGCGTGCGGTGACCTTGGATGGTGAAATCTGTGCTGGGATATGTCATTTCCCTTTAATGCTTGGCTGCCTGAAAGTTATTTCTACTGGATATGGAGGGCGTTCCGGTGTCACCGCCACTCCTGGAGACACTGGAGGCCTTTGTCAACACAGGGGAACTCCCCTACTAAAAAGGGAGGTAACAGTTCCAGTGTTAAAAAGTGTGTGTGGGCTGTATACCGTATTTTTCGCTCCATAAGACGCACCTGACCATAAGACGCACCTAGGTTTTAGAGGGGAAAAACAAGAAAAAAAAATATTCTGAACCAATGGACTGCAGACACCGTACAGGGGATGACCAAAGACTGCGGACACAGTACAGGGGATGACCAGAGACTGCGGACACAGTACAGAAGATGACCAGAGACTGCGGACACAGTGCAGAAGATGACCAGAGACTGCGGACACAGTACAGGAGATGACCAGAGACTGCGGACACAGTACAGAAGATGACCAGAGACTGCGGACACAGTGCAGAAGATGACCAGAGACTGCGGACACAGTGCAGAAGATGACCAGAGACTGCGGACACAGTGCAGGGGATGACCAGAGACTGCGGACACAGTGCAGGGGATGACCAGAGACTGCGGACACAGTGCAGGGGATGACCAGAGACTGCGGACACAGTGCAGGGGATGACCAGAGACTGCGGACACAGTGCAGGAGATGACCAGAGACTGCGGACACAGTGCAGGAGATGACCAGAGACTGCGGACACAGTGCAGGAGATGACCAGAGACTGCGGACACAGTGCAGGAGATGACCAGAGACTGCGGACACAGTGCAGGAGATGACCAGAGACTGCGGACACAGTGCAGGAGATGACCAGAGACTGCGGACACAGTGCAGGGGATGACCAGAGACTGCGGACACAGTGCAGGGGATGACCAGAGACTGCGGACACAGTGCAGGGGATGACCAGAG